TGCTATCATATTTTTGTTCAAAGATTCACGACTTATTGCCGAAAACAATACCACCAGAACCTTAAAGCTCTAAGGCAAAACGGTAATTTTGATTCAACATGTTAGCAATACACACACATTAAAGAAGACTACGGCTACAAACATTTGTCAAACACTATCGGGAGATAGGCGCCACCACCTCGACCATCAACAGAAGAGGAGAGTGATCAGCCTACTAGCCTAGTGTTGGCTCCTAAATTTGCCAAAAACCATTGCAACTCACTACCTGAAATTGCTTCCTCCTCTGTCTTGTCCAAATCTATCTTTCTCCATAGCATCAACAAACATCAAAACCATATCCAACACTAGGGTCTCTAGACAACTCCCGGCCAAAGGACCACCAACTTGGAAGCTAGTGCACAATTCTCATCAGCCAACCACCGCACATGAGTTTCAATTTTCTAAGGTTTTTTTTTACCTGGTCAAACCAATTTGACTCAATCTGATTTGACTTGTCCAGTTTAGCCACCTCCAAACCGATTCTCAACATTTTTAAATCGATATTAAGGTTTTGGTCATATTCATTTACTCTTTAAGGTTAATTTGGTCAAAATTTATGTCATATCCTTATTTTTTAGGCATAGTCGTTTGAACAAGTGAGTTAATATCTATTAATGCATTCAACCTATGTTATTTGATTTAAGATGTATGCTTAAGTCTTTCAATTGAATTAATAGAAGAGAAAATTAATGTAATGCTAGTAGTTCTATGACATCACACAATAAAGGGATTGAATGATGGCTTACTGATATTGGTTACATGCTTACTAACTTTTATTCAACTACTTAACTTCTTCATCTTTTGAACCAAAATAAGTATTGTCACTCAAAAGTATTAAAATTTATCCAAGTCGATACAAAATGCATTTTATCTATTATTAAGAGTCTTGATTAGTGATCAACTTTTCAAACACACAAATATCAGGTTAATTGAAAAAAAAAATAAGCTAATTGTTTCTAAATTTAAAATATCAAGTGAGTTGGACAAAACAATCAAATGTTAGAGAGATCTTAATCCTTGAAATAAGTGCAAGAAAGACTATATTTGACATTGATGGATCTTGATGTAAAGAATTAATTATGGATATTAAGCATTTCCTGCAATCTATCCAACCTCAATGGAAGGATTTCCTCGATACATAATAGTGATTATGGTCATTCTTTCACATGGAAATGCATACATCTCAGTAGAGTTGCTCTCTCCACTCCTGCATAGTGTTTGAAGAGATAACAAACATGCATCGCCCATTGCTCATAGGTTAGTAGGCTTGTGCCATTAAGATTAAATGATCTTTGATGCAGACCACAAAATCTTTAGACATTCTCCTACAAGATTACAGTGATAAATGACCACAATATCCCAAAACCTATCTTTTTTTATGGAGCAAGATGATGTCACTATTATTGATGATCCAACTTATGAGAGCACGTTGATAAATGAGATAATTAAAAGATCACTATTGACTAATAACTAAAAAGCTCACTATTGACCATCCAACTAATAATAACAAGCTACTAGATAAGAGAACTAAGGAGATTGTGAAATATGCTTTAACTTTTACTGTACATACGGAGACACCTTGTGATGGATTTCTCAATCTAGTCGTAAGCAATGATGATGTTGAGGCCAAGAACAACATTCTCGCTTATTTTAAGGAGGTTCCACAAGAAGATACTACTTCAAAAATTTCTTTGGCTCTTAACATCAATAAGTAGAGTTTAGTTATTCTTCCTTCCATGAATCCTTTTTTAAATAACCTTGTAAGGCCATACTTATCTCCACAAATGATCTCAACCCCAAACTTCCTTGAGATATTGACTTTTTTATCTCGTTCCAAGCTATTAAATGGTACTTTCTCCTTTCCTCATAATTTCCTCATAGGAATCTACACTGAATTGATTTTAGTCTCTTAGCAACACTCGCAAGAATGCAATAAATGGGTAGGTTAGGCAACATGCTTTTGATAAGTGTGAGTCTCCCCTCTTGGAAAAATGTTTCTCTTCAAAGCCGTTAACCTCCTCTCAACCCTCACCACCATATGATCCCTCGTCCTCACCTCTTTCTAATTGGCCACCAATGGTAAACCCAAATACTTAATCGGCAAGTCCACAACATTACAACCCATAACTCTCACCAACCTGTCAACCTCCCTCTCATCGCCCCATCTTACTAACTCGAACTTTGCTAAATTGATATTAAGTCCAAACAGCTTGAAAATCCAACAAAACGTAGGTGAGGTTGAGCATTATCCACTCACCAGATTTATAAAATGGCAAATTATTATCAGTAAAAGATAGACAGGCTACCTCCTCAGTATGATCTCCCCACACTTTAAGACCTCTAAATAATTCCAATTCTCTGACTCTTATCAAAATTTTATTTAATTATTTCATAACAATAATGAAAAGCAACAAAGACAATGGATATCTTGGTTTTAAACCCCCTAGAAAGTATTGGAAAAAGAAGATGGACCCCCCATTAACCATGATACCAAAAGATGTAGTAATAACGCTTGACTTAATCCATTCACGCCATTGTTCCCCGAATTCCATTCTCCTTAGTAAATAATCAAAAAATACTCGAATTTATAGAATCATAGACTTTCTCCATATCTAGCTTGTAGAGGGCCTCATCCATCTTCCAATATAACAAATCGTCCACCACCTTATTAGCAATAAGCTTTCTTTTTTTTTTTTTAAATATATCAAACTTTGCATTTTGAATTTGTCTACCTACCATAAAAGCATGTTGGCACTCACTTATCACTTTATACGTCGTCACCTTAGACATTCTTCTACCTCGTACCTTATTAGCAACAAGTTTTCCATCTTTTTTTTTTCGTAATATAACAAGTTTTGCCTCTTGAATTTGCCTATCTACCATAAAATCATGTTGGCACTCCCTTATCACTTTATACATTACCTTAAACATTCTTCTACCTAATACCTTTGCAATGAGCATATAAATATTTTCAACTAAGCTGATTGGTCTAAGATCTATATGCATCCGTGTCTTTTGTCAAATCGATTAATTCAACCATTTTAGTATTAATTGCTAAAGTGGAAGGGGCAAAGAGTATCAATGAGTTTCGACCTATTAGTTTTGTAGGGTGAATTTACAAAGTGATTTCAAAGGTATTAGCTAGGTGAATGGCAAAGGTTTTAGAAGAGGTGATTGGGGGAAGGCAAAACGCATTTGTTGAGGGTAAGCAAATATTAGATGCTGTAATGGTGGCTAATGAAATGGTAAATGAGTTTGTGAGCTGTAAAAGAGAAGGGTTCTCATGTAAGTTAGATATGAAAAAAGCTTATGTAAGGTGATTGGACCAACCCAAGGACTCCATACTACTGGGAAATGATATGGTCTGAAATCAAAGTACACGTTTCCTGAAGGATTCTACAAGAAAAAAAATAATATGTTCCAAACATATCCTAGAACAACAGTGATCAAGTTGACAACTAGGAAATTTCTCAACTAGGAAAACCTAGCTTCAAGTTTGAACACTAACATTTAAGCCATCGCACCAATATAGGATGCCTAAGATGGTGAAAAACTATGTAGCAACCACAAAGGCATATCACTTAATTGCATATACTCATAGCTATGTTCCAATTATTTTCCTAATGGAGTAGTTGAATAATATGAAGCAAGTGGAACCCAATGGCTTGATTAATAAGCTAAATAATTTTCCACGACATGCTTGATGTAATCTTCTACTACCATAATCTTGTATAAGTATACCCCTTTACACATCTAGAAGTTCGTCACGTGCTTAACAAGTCTCTCAAATTAGATATTCCTCCCCTAATTTCTCTACCAAAAAGAACTTGTAATACGGATTTATCTCTCAATTTGCTAGATCCAAAATATCTTTAAAGCAGTCAATCTAAAAATCATTACAAGTAAATAAGTTTATTTTAAAGATAACATGTTAAAAATAGGTATTTTAGAAAATTAACTTTGTATGAAAAAAAATAGAAGGCCTCAAATCGCTATTTTAGCAAAGTAGTAAAGCTTCAATATTTTTTATACAAATTGCTTATAAAAAGGTTATCATGTAAAGTAACATTTTCCATGTCTGATGGAATATATTGGGTGCAACATTTTTCATACAAATACTATACGTGATCTTCTCTCAGTTTATCTCTTATCAAGTCAATATAAATGAAAAGAATTTTAGTGAACCAAAATGATATAGTATAATTTAAGAAAAAATAAACATTAAGAAAAGTAATTGAACAGTTCCATCAAAAGGACTAAAACAATTGACGTACATTTCATTCTTACACCGAATAAAAGAGAAAGCGAAAAAATAAAAAGAACCAATAAAGTCACAACCCATATTTGTTTCTCACAATAATGAATACCTTATAGGATTTAAAATATTTCATATAAGATAGTCATAACTGTCAACAAAGAGTATAGAGACAATAATATTTTAGAGAACCTATATATATATATATATACACATATGAAGCAATATCAAGGAGAAAATAATTAAACTAAACATGAAGAAAATGCCAGAGCATCAAATTCAATAATGTCTTATTCCTTTCTAATGATTGCAATTATTGTCCTTCCATATAAGGACAGGAAAAAGATTATCTTTAATCTCATGCCTGTAATAATTGAGCTCCGTTACTTTTATTTTAATTCCATATTCATTCTCTTCTTGGATGACAGGATTAGTTTTTTAATAAAATAAACAGTACCTCCTATTCATGACTGGAATGTGAGATTGCAAAATACTGAATTAGCAAAGTAAAGTGAAAATCTTTAAAAAAATAATAATAAATAAATAAAACAAAGCACATAAATGACTTCTTTTGGGGTTAAGGTCAATGGCCTTGTTGTGAGGGGTATTGGGCCCACGTAACTTCATTCACTAAGCATCTATAGTGGGGAGACGCACCGGTGCACCTGAGTGAAAAGCTCTTGATATGACTTATCCAGCTTAATCTTACAACTACAACCTCCAATACCTACTGCAAGTGCATTTCAGAATCCAAAAACATTAATGTGAGAGAGACATCTGCATCTGATTTCATTTCTAATATTTAGCTGTATTGCAAGATCTCTCCTACTCATATCTTCACTTTTGAGTTCCCAACACACAACTTAAAGTTTGGCTAGATGGAAACCCTATGAATACTTTGATGCGCAAGACTGTTTTCCAAATTAATTCTAGGAAAAATTACAGTTTTATCCCAAAACCATTTTTCTACTTGCAGTTCAATCTACACATAAAAATTATTAGTTTTTTAAGCTATTATATTTTTGTATTTTTCTCTATTTCTGCTTTAGTTAGGTGTTAAATGCTGTAGGTTCACATCTGAAAGTCCAAATAAAAGCAAATATTCTCCAAAAAATAACTAATTTATGGAAAATCACAAACAATTGAACCATAGTGTACTAAATACTCACAGAAAAAAAAACACACACACGGACACATGGAATGAACTGCATTTAAATCAGATGATAGGGAATTAAACTGTAATTTATTCCTAAACTCCATTAACATTAGAATGGAAAAGTTGAATTTGATTTTTGTGCAAACGTCATAGAGCATTTCCTCAACCAACACGACAATCACTGGAAACATATTCTCAAAAGGAAACAACCAACTTTTCTCCAGAAAAAGAAAAAGATATTAATCATACAATCCAAAAATCCTTAAACTTTATCAGATCTCCTTAGTGAAAAAATAAGAAGAAAAAAAACATCCTTTCACCCAAATGTCATAGAGCATTTCCTCAACCAACATGACAATCATGGGAAACATATATGTGTGATATTCTTAAAAGGAGACAAACAACTTTTCTCCAGAAAAAGAAAATGATATTAATCATACAATCCAAAAATCCTTAAATTTTATCAGATCCCCTTTAGTGAAAAATAAGAAAAAAAAAAAAAAAAAAAAAACATCCTTTCACCCATAGATTAGCATGTAACCATTTTCCCTGTCAAAAGAACTTGATACTAGAGCATTCTATATTAAATGGCGACAATTTGGGGAACATTAAGAGCATTTTGGTCAAGATCTTGTGTCATTCCCTTCTAAACAGGTGGTGGTATGGGAATAGATAAAAAGACCATGGCATCAAGGTGGACTGGGTTTGAAATATGTTGTAGAGATGAACTAGGCGCTCCAAAGAAAGTGGATTTAGCAATTCATGATAGAAAATAGCATTTTTTGGAAAAGAGTGATAGAGGCGAAATTTGGTACCATAAATGGAGGCTGGTACTCGAGAGAGGTGTCAAGACCACATAAGAAATGGGTGTGAAAACGAATAAGCATGGGAAGGCATAATTTTCAGGGATGCATCAGGTGGAATGTTGGCAATGGGATGAGAACAAGCTTTTGGAAGGAATATTGGCTTGGGTAGGGAGACTCAAAAATAGGTTTTTCCAGATTTTTCCGATAGCATGGCACAAAGATATTGTTGTCCATGAATCATTCAGAGGTTGGGGGGTAAAGGAATGATACGTGAAGGTAATAAAAAATGTCAACGACCAGGAAGTTGATAAATATGAAACTCTTCTAAGTTCACTTGCCTCTGCATCCTTGAATGGGGGATATAACCAACCAGTTTGGAGTCTCAACTCTGTAAGGATTTTTACGGTTAGGGTTTTTCTATAATTTCTACCCCAAAAATGACCCCATTGAGACCAAGTTATCTTATCAGCAAATCTGAAAAGTAAATTCCCCTCTGAGAGTCGCCTTCTTTGCTTGGGAGGCTGGATGAGGTTGCATTCTCACTATTGGTAAGCTAATAAGAAGAAGAAAAACTATGTTGAACGGTTGTTTTCTATGTAGGAGGTAGAGGAGACTTCTAATCATATTTTGTTGGGATGTCCAATCACATACAATTTTTGGACTATGGCTTGTGGGTTCCTGGGGATTAGTTGGGTTATGGCTGGTACGATTAGGAATGGGATGTAGGCCTAGAATGGTATTTTGTGGGGAGGAAAAACATGCGGCACTCATCCCCCTTGCTATTTTTTGGGTTATGTAGTAAGAAAGAAACAAGAGGGCTTTTAAAGAGGTGTCGAAGGATATAGATAGGATTAGAAATAGGTAATTCTGGACCTAAATGTTTTAGTTATGGGTCATCATCTATATTCTTTGAAGGATTTCAGGAACCTTATTGACAATTTGATTGACATATAAATATTTTTGTACATAGATTAGCACCCCCTTGGTACTTGTATTTGATGACATATACCATATTTCCAAAAAAAAAACTCCTTCTGAACAGGTGGTACCTCAGGTGCCCTTTTATGATTTTCTTTTTATCCCACAAAAGAGAGAAAAAAAGGATACTCAGTCATTCTCATCAAAACCCCTTCTGTTGTTGAAACTAACAAAAAGATGGAAAGAGGAACAAAGGTACAGCCTTCTTGACCTCCCTAGGAGCATGAATACACAAGCAAGCGCACACCATACACAGCCAAAAGCCCAGGAAAAACTCAAGGTAAACCAACACAGGTAACTCCCCGAGAAAACCAGAAAAAGAAAAAGGATGTGGATGGGGAGTACAATCTATAATGTCAAAAAGATAAATGCTGAGGAATCCATAAAATTTCCAATAAGGATAACATGTTTGATATTCCCCTTTTTCAATGTATGGCGAAATGCAAGGCACATCAATAAGATCTGTTTTTCTAGTACAAGATTCTCAAAAAAAGACTTAAGAGATATCGAACCAAAAATGTGCACAACCACACTCAAGGAGCCATAGAAAACATTTCTTTCCACAAATGTAACATAAGATCACCTTTCTACTTACATTTGTGTTTCATTTAACAACAAAATGATCGATTTGGGAGTTTTTCTTTTATACCTATTTTCCTTTAAATATTTTAGCTTTGGCAAATAAACACAAACTAAAGCATAAATGACAACCTGCCTTCACCTCCATCCCATTTTGAATGGCAAAAGCAAATAGCACAAAGGCCACTTGCAGATTCATGAACCACTTACTTGGGTAACTGGTTCTCTACACAAGTGATGCAGATGTTGGAAGAAATGCACAGCACAACATTAGAAACTTTTGCAGGCATCTAAATAATCTAATATATAAGAAAAACGAATAAATTAATAAATAATAAATTCAACTGTCTTCATCTTCCTTCCAGGCAATCCCCTTGCGGCGTTCCTGATCTGATCTTGATTTACTTCCATGATTAGACTCACTGTAATGCCCCACATGGCTGACTTTCTTATCAGTTCCTTCATCTCTAGCCTGGCTCGTTGAACCTTCAAAAGAATTATAGGCAGGAAGAGGTACAAAACCTGATTCAATCCGGTTAACATCATCCACCAGAAGGTCATAATGATGTTTAATCTCCTCTAGAGTTTTCCCAGGAACATCCCCAGCAATTTTCTCCCACCGATCTGTGGAGTCCTCAGGATAAGTTGCAAGAGCATTCTCAAATGCTTTATCCTGCTCTCTACTCCGTGAGGAGCTACCCCCAGCTTCATCCACAGCATCTATCCTGGTCTCAACCCACTACCCAAGATATCACCACAAAAGAAGAGAAGAGTGAACCGACCAAACTGCTCTAAATCAGGGTAGACAAGAATCTTTACAATCCTAGATTTTTTACCTAATAATCCCAGGAAATTCTCTAACAGTTATCCCCATAGTGGGTAGCAGCAACAGATCGATTGTAGACAAGAAGGCAGATATAATAGCAAAAGAAGAGAAGCAAGAAACCCATTGAAGTGTGTAGAATGTTTATATGTAGGAATGTATATATACATGTATACTTACATTAGGGACAGCTGATATCGTTAGAACAGCTGGGTGCTCTCTCCACTAATTTTTTAATTTTTTGTTAGCATCTTTTAATCATTTTTTGTCTTGGCCAAAGCTTATATATTTGGCACATTTGTACCCATGTAAGATTGAAGAAAATCATAGGATTTTTCCTAATCACACAAACTTTCTCTCCTTGTTTTCTTCACGTTATCAGAGTGGCAACTCTGATCCAAAATCTTTCATTATCCAACTCAAGCTGAAATGACCATGGATGAGCAAAACTCCTCACACATTGATCATGTCTCGGGTTCCTTCAATCTAATACCTATCAATCATTCTCACATTGACCAAACACTTTCATTTGTCATTGGACACAAACTGTGGGAGTAATTATCTCCAGTGGTCTTCATCCGTTCTCATGTTCATCCGAGGGAAGAGCACGGAAGAATACCTTACGGGAGAAGCTATTCAACCACCAGCGGATGATCTAAGTGCTCGTTCATAGAAGGCCGAAAACAATCTGGTAATGTTTTGGTTAGTCAACTCAATGACAATAGAGATTGGAGAAAAATTTTTGTTGTATGAAACCGCACACGACATCTGGGTGGTCGCACGCGAGTTTTACTCCAGCCAAGACAATACCTTTGCCACCTTTGAAATCGAGACTCAGCTGCACGAATTACGACAGGAGGAGCTCACTGTAACTCAGTACTACAATGCTCTCTCTCGGCACTGGCAGCAACTCGATGTTTTCGAGGAACACCCGCGGAATTGTCCCGAAGACTCGAAACTCTTCAGAACTCACACTGAACGCAAAAAAGTCTTCAAATTTTTTATGGGACTCAACAAAAACTTGGATGAGATTCGTGGTCGCGTTTTGGGTACAAAGCCGCTCTGCCAAATCTCATAGAAGCTTTCTTTGAAGTCCATCGAGAATAGAATAGAAAAAAGATCATGCTGGGTGATTTTTACTCTGGCACGAACCCGACGGACACAACTTCTACCCTTACTACTTAGAGGAAGCCGCTGCTCAGTGAACCTCAGCCTAGTGCCCTAAATTACGAGCACGCCTCTGCTTTCGTCGGGCGTACTTCTGAAGCTGGAGGAAAGAAAGGGAGACTCTGGTATGATTATTGCAAAAAATCGGATCATATTAGAAATAAATGTTGGAAATTACACAGCAAACCAGCAGATAGGAAAAATTACAAAAATGACACTCAGAGCAACATAGTAATTTCAGAAGAATTATCCCCTGCAACCAGTACTACCGAGAGCTCTCCCTTCAATCCAGCCTAATTAGAGGTCCTCAAGCAAATGTTTTCTCATAAGAGTATTCTCGGTAATGCTTTCGTTGCTCAAAGAGGTAATTGCTTACTCAGTTTATCTGCTTACTCTGTGAAAAGTAAATGTGGATTATTGATTCAGGAGCATCTGATCATATAACCGAAGACATTACACTCCTTCATCGGTACAGTGAATGTAAGAAAATCTCATCCAACAAAATTGTTGATGGAACAAGTTCTAGAGTTGCAGTAGTTGGCTCAATCACTATATCACCAAATTTGATATTACAGTCCATTCTTTATGTGTTTAATCTAGACTGGAATCTACTATCTGTAAGCAAATTATGTAATGACTTAAACTGTGTTATTAAATTTGACAGTGATTCTTGTGTTTTTCAGGACTTGACCACGGGGATGATGATTGGTAGTGCTAAGGACTCAGAACTTTATCTTCTACCAGTCAAAATCTCACCTCCTAATAGACAAACTTCAAGTGCAGTTTGTGTTAATTCAGTATCTGTATAATGTTCTAATATTGACGAATCTATTATGTTATGGCATTATAGATTATGACATCCAAATTATATGTACTTAAAACAACTATTTCTTGCTTTATTCATAAATAAAAATTCAAATTTATTTCAATATGAAATATGTCAATTCTCTAAATATAGTCGCAATTCATATCCCAATATTGCTTACAAACCTTCAAAACCCTTTGCATTGATTCATAATGATGTCTGGGGATCGGCATGGGTAAAAAATATTATTGCGCACAAAATGGTTTGTCTCCTTTATTGACGATCACACTACAATAACTTGGGTTTATCTAATGAAAGAAAAATCTGAAGTTGGTGAAATCTTTCAAAAATTCAACACTATAATTCAAACTAATTTCAAACAAAAATACAAATGTTGAAAACAGATAATGCATGTGAATATCTTACATCCAACCTAAGCAAATTCCTTTCTTGCCAAGATATTGTCCATCAATGTTCTTGTCCCTACACCCCTCAACAAAATGGTGTGACCGAAAGGAAAAATAGGCACATCTTTAAAGTATCTCACTCACTCATGTTTACCACAAATGTCCCTAAGTACTTTTGGGGAGAGGCTATCCTCACAGCCATATACATGATCAACAGAATGTCCTCCTATATCCTTAAGTTTAAAACACCCTATGATTCACTACTTCAAGCCTTCGCAACATCGCACATCTTTCACACAATTTTGTTTAAAGTCTTTGGTTGTTCTGCCTATGTTCACATTCACAGTCACCTCAGAGGAAAACTTGATCCTAGAGCTCTCAAATGTGTTTTTGTCGGGTATTCCAATTCTTAAAAAGGTTATAAATATTTTTATTCACTAAACCACCGGTTCTATAACACTATGGATGTTACCTTCTTTGAGAACCAACTCTTTTATCTCACTCTTGATATTTAGGGGGAGACATCTAAAACTCAGGAATATCAATTGTGGGATGTGAATATTCCCCCTCTACAAACTCCATTGACAACTTCAGAAAAAGATCATGTCCCTAAAATCACCAAAGAACTTGAACCTATCACAGAGACTGATAACACATTACCTGCAGTTAGTGACAAGTTCGATGGCATCTCTCCTGAACCAAGAATAGTTCATGAAGCTCTCAAGATTCCTGAATGGAATGTTGCTATCCAAGAAGAAATTTCAGCCCTTAAAAAAAATGGGACATGGGAATTATCTGATCTACCTTCAGAGAAGGCTCCTATTAGATGCAAATGGATTTTCACCACCAAGTACAATCCTGATAGTAGTGTAAGCCGCTACAAAGCTCGACTTGTTGCTAAAGGGTTTACCCAATCATATGGCATCGACTATCAAGAGATATTTGTTCCTGTTACCAATCACAACAAAAGTCGGGTAGTATTTTCTTTAGCATCTAATATTCATTGGCCTCTCTATCAACTTGATGTAAAAAAATGTTTTCTTTAATGGTGATCTAGAGGAAGAAGTGTACATGGAAGTCCCACCCAGACTCAAAATGAATCCTCAAAAAAGTATATAAATTAAAGAAGACACTGTATGGCCTCAAACAGTCTCCAAAGGCTTGGTTTGACAGATTCACCAGGGTAGTAAAACATATGGGATATCAACAGATAGAAGATCCAATATGGATCTGGTGGATCTTCTATCTGTTGCACAATATGGATCTATGACATCTAGTTACTGCTCTTATGTTTGGGGTAATTTAGTCACTTGGCATAATAAGAAGCAATCTGTTGTATCAAGAAACAACGCTAAACCTGAATTACAATCACTTGCACATGAAATATGTGAGGGAGTATGGCTTGAAAAGATTTAATTAGAATTAAGATTTTCTACTCCTATTGCAATGAAGATTTGGTGCGACAATCAATCAACTATTAACATGATCAAGAACCTTGTGTACCATGACAAAACTAAACATGTTGAGATTGATCGTCACTTCATCAGAGAAAAAATTGAAAGTCCGGATGTGTCACTCCTATACATCCCAACTAGTCAACAAACAGCTGACATACTCACCAAAGCACTACCAAAAAAGGAGTTCAATAATCTTGTATCCAATATATGGTTACTTAACATCTATGTAATCTAAATTAAGGGGAGTGTTGAATGTTCATATGTTAGAATGTATATATACATGTATACTTACATTAGGGACAGCTGGTATTGTTAGAACAGGTGGGTGCTCTCTCTACTAATTTTTTAGTTTTTTGTTAACATCTTTTAATGTCTTGGCCAAATGCCTATATATTTGGCACATTTGTACCCATGTAAGATTGAAGAAAATTAGAGGGTTTTTCCTCATCACACAAACTTTCTCTCCTTCGTTTTCTTCAAAGTGTGTGAAGAATTCATTGGTGATTTGCTCCGCAGTTCAAAAACCGGACTCTTGTGAATTGCTTACCTATTGATGGATGAAAAGGCGAGAAGTACAGCTAGGCCATGAGAAATATCTGAAAACCATAAAATCAAAGATGTAATAAATGACAGTCTTAAAGGCTACAAAAAGTAAAAGAATTAATGCAAGGACGAATCTACATCACAGTATTTAGGGTTTTAAAATGTTGGGATATGAAAAGACACGGAAGAAACTGTACAAATAAGAAAACCCCAGAAGGCAACCATGGATAGAGAGAGCATTCAAATCTCCATTTCTAATTCCAACAAAAACCTAGTTAACCCCATGCCCTACTTGATAATAAATATTCTAACAGCACAGACCCACATAAATTTTCCCACTATAACCATGATAGTTTCAAATTTGATTTTTACAGCCCTGTTTTCTTCTGTCAGTTACGAAGAAAATAGAATCACTAGAAATCAAAAAACTTTCTCAATTGCCAATGGGAACTCTAAGCCAACAAAATAAAGATTGCTGAGCAATGCGCCTATGGCTATAGTGAGTGTTAGAAGATGAAATCAAAACTTTCAAGGTTATCCAAAAGACATGAGTATGAACAGAAAAAGAAAATGGGAACCTTTTTGCCAAAAATTCTTTATATATTCACTGACATATCTTCACAAACTAGCTCATTAATGGTATCACCGCAAGTATACCTAGAAAACTTGAGG